TCTATTCTGCAGGTCCAACGTGGGATATGTTCACTTACTCACTTCCACATTTTTCACGGGTTTACTACGGAATGGCAAATCATCCATTTCGTAACTGACTTGATTATAGTCCGTTGGTAGAGAAATGAGAAATGAATGCTGAGTGTCAGTACTCTTCACTTCGCAGTTTTCGATTTATGATCTTTCCATGTATTCACTTCCACGTCTCACATGACTTAATTAAAAGCTAAGCTCATAAGAATAAAACTATTTTAGAAAAAGGCATATGTAAGATAGTTGTCGTTTGTTAGATAATTTATATTGTAATTCTTTCGACATGCCTCGTATATGTTATCATAGTGTCCGACAACTTTAATTTGTTTCGCAGGCTGCAGAGAAAGCTTTGAAGGCTGCGCAATACACTGTTGGTGCTCCTAAAACCAGTGTTCATAATCTAGTCAAGAATTCCTTGATGTTGGACGACTCTCATCTGACCAGTTTATCAGAAAAACTTGAGGATCTCGTAGGAGATTCAACGCGAATGCGCTACCCGGACCAGGTGTACTCTCCTGATGAGATTCCAAACGACGTTTACACTGAGAAAATGGCCCGTATGGCACTAAAACTAGCCACAGAGATTTTGGACAATATTAGGAGCAAAAGTAATCAAGGTGTGTTATAAAAACAAACTACTAATGTTAGTGTGTGGGTTCATTGATGATTTGTCAGTATAGATGATATTGTCTTATTGAAAGGATTTTCCAAAACACCCTCGCACCTTTCGCCTTTAACACAAGCTCGCCCTGGAGTGTGGGGGGGTCGAGGGGCTGTTGTTTTGTTTTGGTTTTTGTTTTATATCTTTTAAGATGTAAAAGTGTTGACTCAGGCGTTTATTTATGTTCATTGGTTAAGATAACGGACTTTATGTCCGCTTCTGTGTGGGACATTTCACGAAATATAGTCTCTGTTACATAAGTTAATAAGTTTTTAAAACAATGTTGAAAGCGAAACTAGTGATTTTTTACACCTGTGAAAGTGTTAAGTCAGGTATGTATGTATGCACGTTGGCTTCGAAGTGGAACATTTCACGAAATGAAGTCTGTTACATAAGTGAAACTTGTGAGCAGCATGGGAACGAACTGAAGTTTGTAAAACTGACTTTTAATTTCCTCCGCGTTTTGTCCGAGTAAACATTATGAGCTAAATGTAGGGTAAGCCCTAGACCTTTTTTACGGGTTATGACATTTCATTTAAACCGCAGTTTTGTTAAACACCGTCTAACCATCGTTCAAATGACTTCCTAAAGTAACTCATAATTTTTTTCTTGCAAGAACTTCCACCAACGGTTCTCAGTGTCTTTTTCTTTTGTTTAGCAGACGTAAATGTACAAGATTGGACTGATCAGTGAGGGATCAGAAGGAGATGGCCACCCATATAGCCAGAATCAGGGGTCATTTGCGAAATAGAGCAAAATGTAGTTAAACAAAGTCATAAGATGAAATAATGGATAAGTTTCCTTACTTTAGGAAACAGGCCAAGCTTTCTTGCGTCGGTAGTCTTTGCGAAATATGTAGGAATTTTCTTACGATCAACCCAACCGAAAATGAAACAATTTGACCAAACATAGTAATAGACCACTCAGTTAGGAAGACCCCCGCTTCATTTTGAACCAAGTACGCAAAATGTTTATTTGCTGGTGTTTGCAGGGTGATTCCTCATACATGACAACTAAACGATCCAGTTCAAGATGTCTTATTTTACATTTTAATGATTTCTAACGTAGTTTATGAACCATTCATGTAGTAATCAGTTTTTTTTTTTTCTCGTATATCACGAGTACAATACTTTCGAGCGAAAGATGACGTAGGTGACGGAAACATTTTCGAGAGTTAAGTTATGAAATAAACCAACTGCGGTCATGTCAAGTTGTAAAGCTGTCACCAAGTGCCGTGAGGTAATACCATCATTAGCCCTTTTTGCTGTATCAGCGATTCAGTTGCGGTGTGCCATTTTTACTAGAACTCTGTCAGGTAAACTTAAGTAAGAGGATGCAAAAGCAGATGAATGTCCATTGGGAAAGGCATTTTTTGTGCACTTGTCATTTTGGGGTCAGGGTTTTTAGTCGTACGAAATCGAGTCAGTGTGTTGTTTTGACATAATCGATAATTTTGAAATATAATTTACGAGGAATTTATCAAAGAAAATATAGTACATTTTATTGTTACGGTTTTCAGTTTAGGTACTTCGTCGCTAACAATTACGTTGTTTTGGCGGGGCGCTTAGCGATAACTGTGTTTTTAGTTATTTTGCAATGACGAGTCACTTTTTCACTCAGGAATTAGGGGTGTTAGTTTACATAAGTACTTTCAAATTACATTTAAAGATGCTCGTTATTATGAGATGAATCAATGCTAGGATTTTTCAAACGTGTTGTTGGGGTATATAGAAATAAAGGACTCCTGTTTTTTCAGAGCTCATGAGGAATAAAAGTTAAGCATTTTAATTTATTGCATTGTTGTATTTAGTCACTTCATAACGAGACTCACGGTCCTGGTTCCTAAGTATTTCGAGGAACCCGACTAGACAAGAATCGCCCCATTGCAACTTTGTTACTTACTAATGTGGCCACACTGAAATAATTCTAAGTCCTCAAGCATATTTCATATCTGGCGAATGATGGTGATTGTCACACGTAGCATGTTCATAAGTGAACTTTATTCACTACTCCCCACTCTTCCGCCCTCCCCCACTCCGTCTCTGCTCTGCTAGTTACAATTATTCAAGACTGGATTCAAAATAGAATAATTTCTTTTCTAAATACTTACGTTGAGACACCTTGTGTTTAAGTGCCCAGGGAATTGCTGACCAGAATTGTACCCTCCTGCTTGATTGTTACGTTTAGAAAGTAATTGAGTCAAATGAAAGCCATATTGCTCTTTACCGAACTTTGGAACAATTGGACCTACCAACTTATCACCAACTAGCAGAGATCTGTCTTATTACACTCGTTCAACGCCTTTTTGTAGCATTTAATGAAACAGTTCAATGGCATTTATCGCCCTCCTCATTCCAATGCGAATTAGGCAGACTACGCTTACTAATACAGTTACATGTAAAACAAGTAGATTTGTTGCTGGAAAAGTAGCAACAAATGGGGATGCTGCTGATGATTTATAGCCTGCGTACAGTCATCATACTATTGACATTGTTTGTCGTTTTCACTGAGTTCGGAATGACTTTGTATGATCAAGAAACTATGGTCACTTGGTGTGATATATTTAACAAATTGACGTCAGTTTTTCATGCGTCTGTCCTATTATTGATCATGAATTTCGTCAAAGCATTGTCAAAGTAGTTGTGGATCCACGAGGCGATAGCCGGCCGAGTGGAACCACAAACTATTTTAACAAGGTTATGACGACATTCATTGTCAGTAACAGGACAGACGCGTGAAAAACTGACGTCATTGTGTTTTTTGCGATAACAAATTGTCAAATTTTCCGCTCCGCTCATTGCGTCAACATCGCATAAACTATAAAATCACGTGTTTGTACGCTTATTGACAATGAAAATTAACCAGTGAGGGCGGGAGAATTTCTGCAATTATGGTAAAAAGGGTTATTTAAAGTGTTAAATCGTGGGGGCTTCACTTTAAACTGTTAAACAAGAGATGGGTGTGCCGATTGAAGTGGAAATAAATAGTAGGGAGCCGAGCTGTAATTATTTCTTAATTTTTTTCTTTCTTTTTCTCTTTCTCCTTTAAATGCTTATTCTTTGAAAGAATTCTACTTACGGCAGGAATGACGACAAAGGCTGGCTTCTATCTCTACCAAACACTGCACTCGCGCGGTTGTCGCTCTATCTCTATAGCATTGCCTTCATATCCCCTCCTACAGCAATTTGACATTGACCTTAATTGAGTCATATTGGGTTCTTACTTTTAAAACTAGTCTGCGAGAACTTACTGCGCTCAAACTACTAATGCACTTATCAATTAATGTTAAGCTGCTGGGAGGGGGGGGAGGGAGGGAGGCCGGGCATAGGTGGGGGGTTTTGACGTAACAAGTCTGCCCGTGGTTGGGACTTTTGATCATTCGCCGAGTCCCGGGGGTCGGAACTTTTGACTTTAACCGTTAGTAGACTGGGCCCTGACAACGCCATCTTGGATATCCGCAATCTTGGATGACCGAGAGTGACTGGAAACAAACTGTACAGAATTGGAAGAACACAAGTTGTGCCTGAGGGGCTCAGACGTTTGGTGTTGAACTGAAAGAACATTGTTGCAGACATTCTTTAAACAAGGCCTTTGTTACAGATGTTAGTTTTTCCTTAGTTAAAGGTTAACTCAATTGCTAAACATCATTGATTTGTATTTTGAAAGTTGTGTATGGAAACAAATTTCCGAATCTTACATAACGTAAGACTGTTTTTAATTTAGCTCAAATGAATTGAAATTATGAAACATTTTTACAGGATAGTGTTCTGTATTCACCTTCATACATTCAATTTGCAATGCATGTTGTTTCTAAGCATGGTTATAATTTTAGTACTAAAACGAAATTAAATTATTGAACTTCATCTTTATGAGCCTACCATGTGCAGTGTATTATTAATTGAATTAGTGAATACATCTAAGATCTTGAGTCCTCTTATGGGGCTTTTTTCTTATTTCTCTGCTACAGATAGAGGTTAACATTTTATTTCCATCGTTTCTGTTTAAAATGTAAATAATTAAAATGTCACAATGGTGTAGTACATTAGTCGTGATAAAAAGTTCCATGTTTTCTGTCTTGTTTAGTCGTATAGGTTTAGGCAGTCGTCACAATTTTAATATAAATTAGGTGACATTTCTTTATTAAACAGACGCTGCATTTTGAATTTGTTGCTTTGTAGCCTTTTATCTACAACTTTTTAATGTTTAATTCTCTTTTTTTTGACAGACCTAAGCCTTTTTCTAGATAGAGGTGGAGAATTTGCATTCTTTTGAACAACACTAATATTCTCCAGAATCGGGATAGAGGTATGTAAGGGCATTGTTATCCAGTTGGTGTCGCTTTATTGGTTAATTGTTTATGATTTGCATGCAAGCAAAGTAATTTTTTGTTCCACGGAGGATCAATTCCTATTGTTATGTGATTTTCATCAACAGTTATTCCTTGTCCATTCAGATCGGATTTAGTTTGCAATGTAGTACAGCTATTAATTTTTATTTGCCTTTCAGTTTTTATGTACTGGATCAGTAAACCTTGTGATTTACATGACTCTTCGTCCAATTCAGTTGGAAAACCTATCGCCGCTACACTCAGGGCTGTAAAAATAAAACTCAGTCAGCCATGCATCGACGCATGGCTCTGCATCTCGACCAGGCTGATTTGTCATACCGTTGAAACAGTTGCTGACTCTGAAAATGTTATCTTTATACCAGTTTCTGTGTTTGTTTCTAGTTACCGTTCTATTTTAAAGAAAGCTGTGTTTGTTGCCACAGTTCAAATTATGTTTTATCATGCCATGCTCCAAGCCATGTGCAGACAAATAGACCATTTTACAGTTGTCTGCTCAGTGACCTGGCCTTTGAATGGCAGCAAGGCTGGAGTTGACTTGTTTTGATACATACCTCACTGCTTTTGCCATGTATATACACCTAGTTAGCATCAGAACAACTTGTTTTACACAACAAAAGCAGTGAGGTCTGTATCAAAACAAGGTCAACTCTAGCCTCGCTGCCATCCAAAGGCCAGGTCACTGGTCAAACAACTATAAAATGGTCTGTTCAACTTCAAGTGCAAACATCAGGGCTAGTAAAAGGCCGGAATATTCATTTGTTTTTTCCATGCTTCTTGGCATAGACCATCATATTATTTTTGAGATCTTTCTTCAGCAAATAAAGAAAGAACATAATTAGATTCAAAAAACCTCGCTATTATAAGTATTATTTTAATTGATCATTTTTACTATGGTCTCACTCCGTGAAAAAAGTGTTTTATTTTTGGTTCATTCAGGGACGTGAGGGACTATTGTCTTTCTCATGGTACAACTATGTGAACTGGCTCAATTGGGACAAAAGCAACAACTAAAAATGTTATTGAAAACATGCAAAGGATGGGAATCTTTTTCGTAAATGAACCAAAGTTTTAGAAGGCTGTTGACCAGTCTCCCAAAACGTTGTTGTCTTTTAATTGGTTAGTTTAAGCCTTAAGTTTGAGTGGTTATCAACTGTTTTGCTTTGGCCATCAGAGAACAAGGTTTCCAAACAAAATTTTTCAAGCGAAGTTAATAATACATGTATATATTAGTATCACCCAACTAGTGGACTAATGCAAATCCTGCATTTTGATTGGCTACGCTACTAGGGGACTATTAGTAATAGTCATCGAGTAGCGAANTCGCCCTCAAGGGCCACGGGTCAATAGCCCATTCGGCTTCGCCTCATGGGCTATTGACCCGTAGCCCTTGTGGGCTATGGGTCTAATTGTTAATGATAATTCATAACTTAAGATGGGATTGGTAGAGAATGTACATGTGAGGTGTAGTGAGGTGTAGAGGATTTAATAGTAACTCAGTATAAGTAAATTAAAAGAGACCTTTCTTTTTCTTTAGTTGATTTAAATTTTTTTTTGTTAAATTGGAATTGTCTGGATAATGGCCAATTTCCTCTATGCACCTGCAGAGAAACATGGTAGTTGCATTCATCATCTTGGACTGGATATTTGTTTAGATGAATACAACCACGTGCACCATGATTCAGGCTGCTCTCATTGCAGGGAATTCACCATATGAACCTCACTGGTCTGTTTACAAAAAAGATCACTGTCCATTGGTTTCTTTCCAAGTGGCCAGTTTCAAGTATGTGTTGAGTATAACTGGCTTTTAAATATTAATATTGTTTAATTTCAAGTATTTTTTCAGCAGAATAATGTACAAGTAGTTGCTAACTGACCATTTCGTAGGTAACAGTGAGCTTTAAGTAAGCAAATTTTAGGCATGGAAGAAGTTTGCTAATCAAATCTGCAATTTTGATATGTTTATATGCTTCTTTTCACATATGAACAACACGGAAAATACGGAGGAAGAAAAAGACTACTTATGATGAAGAGATGTGTGGAAATAACAAAAGAACAGCTGCAATATTCCCAAAGGTATGTTTATCCCTCATTTCTTGATACAGTTCACGCCAGATTTGTTGTTTTGGTAGATTGATTTTTCGCAACCATAAAAGATCTTCTGTTGTAAGATATTTGTAAGAAAGACAGACAGACAGACAGACCAGCAAAGAGATGTACTGCTCTGTTTGGCTTTAGGCTTTTCGTTTATTTGTGGTCAAGCTGTGCACTTTTAGAAACACCCCAAGTCTTTGTTCTCTAATGAAATTCTACGTGGTGATAAGCCATTGTTCTGCCAGTGAAATTAGTCACTAGCTGGCTTTTAAGGTAATTCCCCTGAAATAAAACTGCACATAGATTTTTGTTCAAACTTTGTGCAATGAATATTTATCACATGAGAAATTTAA